GATTGTGGTCTGACAATAGCGTGCCACACATTTCGAAGTGGTGAACAATTTTGGAGGTGAACGCCATCGCCAAGAGGGTCTACCATTCGGCTACGAAAACCTGCACTTTAAGCCCCTGTATTTAGGGTTGATCAGTGCTACCAACCTAGACAAAAGTGTTCTTTTGTGGGAGTGAANTTGTCGGAGCCATCAAGTTATACAGTGTGGGAATAAGAGCAACGAAGAGACGGTGGTATGAAACTGGAGAGCAAACGTGTCTTTATTCGAATTTCGGAATCCAAATTCTTGCTCTGATTTTTTTCAAAATTTTTCGGTTGAAAATTAGCACGGAATGTCACTGTCACTGAGAACCATTTTGAATGCTTAGTACAACAAAAAGTGGGCGCTTGAAGAAGAAAGACATAAGGGCTGTCCATTAAAACCGGAATTTCCGATTCGATCGTAGTTTGCCGATGACGTGGATCCGTCAAACGATCCACGACACACGTACAGCCATCTTCAGGTAATTCAACCTCAACACCCATTGTTCCTGCCCGTCATTCGGTAGCCGGTGATTGGACTATCTACTGTGATGTTCTCAAACTCGATCGACTGAGTGCGTTGTTGAGCGGTATATATTGTTTTCTCGTAGCTCTGAAATGTAGTTTGTTTGTGTTTTGCTTTACTACTCGTTTAAAAGATTCGTTTAACAACGAAAGAGATATTTTTATAGGAGATTCGTCGTGTATAAAGCAAACGAAGCGTGAACTAAAAAGCTGGGAATCTTTGGATAGCTGTTTCGACCTGGTTGGGTTTCATCAGCAGTGCGAATCCAGCGACCTCATTGGGGATCGAACCCGGGACCTCACAGACAGAACGCAAGCATACTATCCACTCTGCTGGAATGAGAAATATTGTCAATCGAAAGTGCTGGTGTCCAGCACACATACATCAACCGAATCCGTTGCCTATGTGCTCCATATTTCACGCATTATCGACATTCTCCACTCCCCTGTACCTTGTCATTTGTTTCCTCACTTTTTTTCTCGAATCCGGACGCGCTGTTTGACAGTGTTTCCAATCATGTAGCGAATCACAACTACTGGAGCATGCTTTTTATCCGGGCGAAGATCCGTTCAGTCTGGCTTCACGTGTGGCCGCCATGCACGAATTGACCGAACGTAATGGATTGGATTTTATGTTCACATATGCTGATCGCCGTCATTGTGTTCGGGACTATTTAACCGATTTGTCTCGGATGGCTGGCATTCAACAAGTTTGGTACGTTCAGTTTTTCGGCGTCACAATTGATTACGGCTCGTATCTAACCATTGGACAAAGCGCGACAAATTAGATTGCTAAAATAACATGCAGTCTGTTGACATTTCCATTTTTTCTCACTTTGATTGGTCATTGTGTTTCTACCGTTTGCTGAATCGGCACCATTTAGCTAACTTTCTAACATGAAGCCATATATTTTCCATATATTTGCCCCAATTGGTTGTTTACCAGTCACCCTGATATCAACGAAGATCTGGGCCGGTAGGTAGAGTCTACTGTTTCCTTTTTTGAGGATGCTATGTAATGTCTGCATATAACGTTGCTTGTTTCGTGCCCACTGAGTTATAATAGTAATAATGTATTTCTACTTTCTTTTTTATTTATTGAATATACAAATGTACAGTCAACAGGCCGCGGCCACACAAAGGCTGCCTGGGAAAATACAGAAATAGAGAAAATGGGCGGCGGTGGAGCAGTGGGAACCCGGGATTCCCAGACCACAAGTTGGTGACCACCACCGCCCGAGTCCGAAGGTGCTTTTTTTTAAATCAGCTATCGGTGATGATTAGGCAAACGGTTGAGAGTTTCTCACAAAACTACTCATTTTTAAGTGCTTAAGCTTCTGTCCGCTAAGCTTGACACATCACGTGGTTGTAGTTGTTCGCTTTAAATCGCCGCCGTTTTCACACTCAGAGCTGGACAGTTCTGGCCACACAACATTGAGGATAGACAGCTGCACTGTAGACTGGCTCTTTGACACGCCTCAAGTGATTCGCCTTGGCATCTATCTATCTATCTATCTATCTATCTATCTATCTATCTAATCTATAT